GAGACAATGCAGGTTTTTCCCCTTAGCCTTTTCTGCCATGCTTCAGTCTGCATGGGTGAGCAGGGAATGCAGAGTTTCAGCAACTGAGAAGAAAAGGAATCCTTTCTGCCAATAAAGGAAGATGAGATAGCCTGGAGATTACACGCTATTTTTCTTTCTTCTTTAAATTTGCTCTGCAGTAGGGATGACCTGGTCTGCCTGCCTGCAACTGGAGAGGGAGACAAACGCTGGGGGTTCTGAGAGGTAGAGACACACTTCCCCTACCTCTGATTGACAGATTTCATCTGCCTCCAAGGCTAGAGTGGAGTACACAATATCATGGATTTGTGGACCTCATTACAAACAAGAAAGCTTGTAGTGGTTTCTTAGCTACTAGTATCCATACTGTAATTTTATATTAAGACACAGAATGCTAATATTTTAAATAGCTATTTACTTAGACTTAATTTTACAAAAATAGGCTGGAGAGAAGATTCCCTATCAGGCAACCAGCAAAGGGTGCCAAAAAGATCTTAAAAAGACTGCTTGTCACACTATGGGATGAAGCACCCACTTTTGGGGGGGGGGGGGGGCGGCTAAGGAATGTGGAAGTCACTATTCATAACTCAAAAACACCTTGTTCAATTACCTAAACTTGGTCTCCTTTAAAGGGAGATTATCTGTGAAAGGTTTCAGGTGGAAAGGAACTTTTCAGAAAGTTGTTGGGGCGGGGGGGTGGGGAGGAAAGAAAATCAAGCCTACACAGTACACCATTTCCGTAGTTCTTTGGTCATTGCATTTATAAACTCAGCATATGTTTATATAGTGTTCAGTGGAAACTATAAACCATACTACTAACTTAGGCCTTCCTGGACTCCCAGAGTCTTAAATTTCACATGTTTCCACGCACATTTTAAAATGTAATTCTGTGCATTAGTTCCCATTAATGGGTTATGTATAAAACAAATCAGACTAAAATATTCAAAACATGCATGTTAAAAACAAGCCTTTGTTTTACAAACACTTCCACTTTTGAGAAACCCTATCTCTTTAGAGTACTTTACAGTGAAATAACTGCCCCCTCTGGCTACAAGTCAGATGAGGTAGTTTATACAGAAAAAAATTAAGATTTTTTTTACCCCAGAAATTAACAAGATGTGGGGGAGAAAAACTTGAAGGAAACCTCTCAATCTTAGCTATGAAGTCCTTGTTAATTCCATCAAAAATATTACAAAAATTCAAGTTGTACAGTGAAGCATTCAAAAAGGTTGAAATGTCAAAGTTAAAGTTGCCTGTGTAATTTTAACTCCTCTCCCTAAGGCATTGGGAGTTAAATCCAGTAGCTGGGGATTTCCAGGGCTACTGGAATCCCTGGGTATGCTCCTTACGCTGGCCAGAGGTAGGTAGCAGTTTGTAAGTCATAAAAAGGGAAATAAGGACAACCCGAGCGGGAAACTACAGACCAGTCAGCTTAACTTCTGTATCCGGAAAGATAATGGAGCAAATAATTAAGCAATCAATTTGCAAACACTTAGAAGATAATAAGGTGATAAGTAACGGTTTGACAGGATTTGTTCTTGACAAATCCATGCTGACTAACCTGATGGCTTGTTACCCTGTCAAAGAAAGCTTTGTGAAGGGGGGGGGGGGGGGGGAGAGAAAGAAGCGGTACATGTGGTATATCTTGATTTTAGTAAGGCTTTTGATACTTTCTCGCATGATCTTCTCATAAACAAACTAGGGAAATATAACCTAGATGGAGCTACAAGATGTGTGCATAACTGTGTAACCCCTTTGGGGTTTAGAGAGCATGGCCCCTTTAAATCTTTTTCCTGGGAGTGGGAGCAGCGAGAGAAAGGAGGGAAACTCGGGGTGTGTGGCTCTGGAGGAGAGCCTGCAGGCCCTCACAAAGTGAAGCAGCAGAGAACCTGCCTAAAGCCTGGGAAGGACAGGACAGCCAATCGGGGACACCCCAGGACAGGAGCCAGGAGGAGCACTGTGCCAGGGAGGAATCGCTCAAGGAGGACAGGCTGGAGCTGGACCCAGTATCACTGCTGCCTAGAGCTGCATGGGGCTTCTGACTCTGCACTGGGAATAAGGAGGGAGGCTGCTAGCTAGTTAAGTGGGGAGGTGGTCGCTCTATGTGGCTTTGCAGAGAGCGGCAGAAGAGGGCACCGGAGAGGTTTGTTGGGGAAAGTTCACTGGCGCTGAAGATGACCAGGAGCACCCAAGACTCACCACTGGATGGGAACTTTGCTCAGGGCTCCTGAACTCTGTGTGCAGACACATAGCACAGTCTGGAAGGACAGACACTGAGGAACCACTGGGCATGTGGGGCCTTGGTTTGGATGAAACCCTGTTCTACTGCTCCCCTTATATTTTCCCTTGTTGTTTTTCTCCTCTCATCCCTCTGTAAATACACCTCTACCTCGATATAACGCTGTCCCCGGGAGCCAAAAATATCTTACCGCGTTATAGGTGAAACCGCATTATATTGAACTTGCTTTGATCCACCGGAGTGCTCAGCCCCGCCCACTCCCAGGAGCACTGCTTTACCGCGTTATATCCGAATTCGTGTTATATCGGGTCGCGTTATATCAAGGTAGAGGTGTAAATATCTCCCTTTGTTATATCCATTGTACTTTTCCTGTGGGTGTGTGTGTTCACTCTGGGGGGCTTGGAACAGGTGCCCCTGGGGTGGAAGGGATTTTTCCTGCTGCATTCCTGCACGCGCCGTCTCTGGGCCAGAGCTGCCTGCAGAGCAGACTCTGTCTTGGTCACGAAGGTGCTAAATTTACAATTGGCTGGAAAATCATTCCCAGAGAGTAGTTATCAGTGGTTCACAGTCATGCTGGAAGGGCATAACGAGTTGGATCCCGCAGGGATCGGTTCTGGTTCTGTTCAAGATCTTCATCAATGATTTAGATAATGGCATGGAGAGTACACTTATAAAGTTTGTGGACGATACCAAGCTGGGAGGGGTTGCAAGTGCTTTGAAGGACAGGATTAAAATTCAAAATGGTCTGGATAAACTGGAGAAATGGTCTGAAGTAAATTAGGACGAAATTCAATAAGACAAATGCAAAGTACTCCACTTAGGAAGGAACAATCAGTTGCACACATACAAAATGGGAAATGACTGCCTAGGAAGGAGTACTGCAGAAAGGGATCTGGGGGTCATAGTGGATCAAAAGCTAAATATGAGTCAGTGTAACACTGTTGCCAAGAAAAGCAAACATCATTCTGGCATTTATTAGCAGGAATATTGTAAGCAAGACACAAGAAGTAATTCTTCCGCTCTACTCTGTGCTGATTAGGCCTCAACTGGAGTATTGTATCCAGTTTGGGCACCACATTTCAGAAAAGGTATGGACAAACTGGAGAAAGTCCAGAGAAGAGCAACAAAAATGATTAAAGGTCTAGAAAGCATGACCTTTGAGGGAAGATTGGAAAAACTGGATTTGTTTAGTCTGGAGAAGAGAAGACTGAGAGGGGACACGATAACAGTTTTCAAGTACATAAAAGGTTGTTACAAGGAGGAGGGAGAAAAATTGTTCTCCTTAACCTATGAGGATAGGAAAAGAAGCAACGGACTTAAATTGCAGTAAGGGCGGTTTAGGTTGGACATTAGGAAAGAACTTCCTGTCAGAGTGGTAAAGCACTGGAATAAATTTCCTAGGGAGATCGTGGAATCTCCATCATTGGGGATTTTTAAGAATAGGTTGGACAAACACATCAGGGATGGTCTAGATAATACTTAGTCCTGCCTTTAGTGCAGGGGACAGACTAGAGGACTTCTCAAGGTCCCTTTCAGTTCTATGATTCTGTGACAGTGATCTCACACTTGCTTCTTATCAAACTGTCTGTACTGGGCTATCTTGATTATCACTTCAAAAGTTTTTTTTCCTCTTACTTAATTGGCCTCTCAGAGTTGGTAAGACAACTCCCACCTGTTCATGCTCTCTGTATGTGTGTATATATATCTCCTCAATGTTTCACTCTATATGCATCCGAAGAAGTGGGTTGTAGCCCACGAAAGCTTATGCTCTAATAAATTTGTTAGTCTCTAAGGTGCCACAAGTACTCCTGTTCTTTTTGCGGATACAGACTAACACGGCTGCTACTCTGAAACACACCATCAGATGATCTCCTCATACAGCAGGCTATATTGGATTTAAGACTAGCTTTGCTCTGGGAGAGCACAGCAAAACACACCAAACCCGGGAGAAAATCTGACTAGTGTTTAAAACAATCACATACTATTTCTCAAGCACAATGCACTTTCTACAGTTTAGATGCACAACTAGCAATTTATACTATTCTGTTCTTCTGTCTATGCAAGACAGTCCATATGTTTGTTTTTTAAAATACTCTAACACATACAAGATATAGTTTATAAGGTTTTAGAAAAGGTTGTGCATGCCCCAAGGGGCAAAGTGCTCCCAATCTGTGTGCCCCAATCATGCAATGGCAGGGCCCTTCCTCCCCTCTCCCGCAACGTCAGGATACCTCACACGCCCCTTAAACTACTTGTTCCTTGTTGCTGAAGCTACAGGTCTGAAGTGGATGAGATGGGAAAGGACTCTGCTGCAGATTACAAGGAAAACAGCAGACAACTTTCTCAGATCAAATGTGAGATCACTCCAGGAGCAGTGGGCCTGGTTGACATTTGCTGACACTGGTATCTGTTAATCCTCCAATGGAAGCGGGATACACACAGATTAGTTAAGTGGACTGCTCCAGAAGTATCTGCCTTTGGGCACTAGAATTTCAAGCCATCTATAATCATTTATGCCCTGATCCTGCAAGCTGATCCAATTTGCAGAACTGGAGCCTAAAACAGATTTAACATATAGCAGTAATTTTGTAAGCAATTCACTTGAAATGTGGCAGATCTTATATGAATCAGATAATTCTAGAATATAGTATTTTAAGATGGGAATAGACTCAATCTATGCTAGCATGAAGTAAACTTTTGTAAAGCACAGCAAAAAACAATTTGCAATTAACTCCTTCCTTACCTTGTCCTAAGAGCCACCCAAGCAGCATCAATGTCAGCATACAGGTTCTTCTCTGTTGGTTTCCCAGAACTTGCGCCATATCCAGAATAATCATATGAGAATATGTTGCAGTTAATCCGTGAACCCAGTCCTATGTAAAAACTGCTCATCTGACCTAGGTCAACAGCATTTCCATGTGAGAAGAGCAAAGTATATTTGGCGTTAGGCGAGCAACGCACAAACATACAGGCAATCCTGTTACCTTTGCTGGTTCTAGTCATGAAACACTCAATGGCATCTTTTTCTCTAGAGGAGTACTGCCAGTCTGCTCGTTCTGAAAGATGTAGAGTCCAGCGACTACCACTCTCATCACACATCAGTGTGTAAGTAGGATCTGGAGGTAAAAATGCCAGTTTGGAAGCAATTTTCCCTGGGCATGGTGGACAACAGAACAGGCAACACAGTTCACTAAAGGAAAGATTATTCATCTTCTATTCTGAAATAGGAAAAGAGAAAAATATTAATTTCTAGTTACAATTCCATACAAGAACATGGAGTAAAATTAACATGTCATTGTAATTACAGAATACGGGAGAATGTTGGAAGAATGTTTTACAACAAAGGTTAATCTTAAATTTAAAACTAAGGCTATAGAGAGTATCAACCTGTAACTAAGAAAATGTGTTTACAACGATTTTTAACATCTTAAAATATTTTAAATATAACTTTAGATCATTATTAGAGGTGAAATTTGAAAACCAATAGAGGAATATATATTCTTAATAATAGGTCATTAATCATGAGAATTTATTTTTATTAAAAGAATAAAGATTATATTCCTTAAGACAAGTACAAAAATTTTGAAGTTAGAAATCAACAATTCACATGACTTATTTTGGCCCAGAAAGCATGGTACTGCTCCTTCCAAAAACTTCAAGTTAAAATGACAAGCAATGAAAAGCCAACAACATTAAACAGTACGTCTCCAATGCACTAAAGGAATAAGGATCTCATTAGCCAAGAATCACTACCGTATTGTCAACCGTTTCAAATTTATTGTGAGTAACGTGATTTTGGCCCCCTATTGCAGGGAATCTTGTGATGTGAAAAGTTCCAGCCTTCAGACTATTTTAAGGATGCAAAACTAGAGACAGGCTCCTCATACAGAGAGCACTGTAGCTTACCAGAAGTTACAAGTAAACTGTAAGCCCAGAGTTCCACCCTCAGAGATGTTCCTATAAGCTTCTTTCACAGACTAGACTCCTTCCTAGTATAGGCTCAATCCTTTCCCCTGGTCAGTCCTTGTCAGTTCCAGCTTAGGTGGTAACTAGGGGATTCCTCATGACTGGCATCCTTTGTTCTGTTCCACCCTCTTTTATATCTTTGGCACAAGGAGAGAATCCTTTGTCTCTCTCTGGGTTTCCACCCTTCCTTCTAAATGGAAAAGTACCAGGTTTAAGATGGAGTTCAGTATTCTGTGACACGTTCACATGTCCTGTGAGACTTCATTACCCATTGGCTGGCACACAGGTATACAAGAAGGCTTACAAGTAAACAGAGCCATTTACCACCAATTGTTCTAGTTAATGGGAGTCATCAAGATTCCAAGCCACCATTAATGGCCCACACTTTGCATAGTTACAACAGGACTGCAGAGTAATACTTCATATTTCTAGCTTCAGATACAAGAATGATGCATTCATACAAATAGGATGAACACACTCTGTAGATTATAAGCTTTGTAATGATACCTTACAAGAGACCTTTTGCATAAAGCATATTCTAGTTACTTTATATATACATAAACATATGGAGTGCAACATCACACCATTAATTTGTGCCCTTTACAAACTTTATTAGCAGCAAAGGCTTCATACCTTGTGCAGTGATAACTGTCAGATAAAATAAAAATGATAGTTTGCATGTGTCACTTCAGACAGGGCTATGAACAGAACCCATCTACTCTGCCACAAAGACTTTCAACAGGAACATGACAAGTCAGATGCTTGTGTAACCCCCCACTAACTCGGGTAACATATAGAGGGTTATGACATCGATGGTACTTCCATGCTAAGAGATTTGGTTCTTTAGCTCAAGCGATATACACCTTTAAAAACAAGCCAAACTCCGAGGTCCTGGGTTCAAACCCCTCAAATGACACAAACAGGAGCATTGTTACAGTTTTCTATGCTATTTGTAACTAGACCACAATCTAATGACAGAGCCAGGAATAGAAAAGAAGAATCCTGATGCCCACCGTTCCCATTGCTATCTCACAAATACTTGTGTAACCCACTAGCAGTGTCCAAATTTACTTCTAAATATAATGCTTTGCAGTATAAAATTATTTCAACAGTTACTCCAGAATACTTACACTATCCATTATACATGTACATAGTTTTCACTCCCACAAAGGTTGTCAGTGGGATATCACGTCCCTCACCCTACTTTTGTAAAGCTTTAGATGTGACCATTGTAAGTGTGGTTGAATCAAATATACTAACCAGGTACCCTCATCTTGGACATGAGTATTCCCCATTCCAGGTCAAATATTTAGTGATGTATGTTACCACAAAACGTGTTGAAGGAGGTATCCTTCTCCTCAGGTGATCAATACAGGTGCCTTTAGAGCAGGTTGGGAGCACCACTATCACTATCCAATAGTTTTTTCAGTATGTACTTCTGGGGTAATTCTGCTCCAAAATATTAAAAATCCTACACAGTATTTAAAATTCTGCATATTTTATCTGTCATAACACAGTATAATCATGCCAGTTTCAATTATGTTAGTAATTTATTTCAAAATACCTGTCAGAAAGTATGTCTGTAACAATACAGGCAACAAAAAAGATTCAGGAATTGTTTTATGACAAATAGATTCCTTACTAGGCATATTAATACAGAACTCTGAGTAATAATTCATTTAAATTACAATACAAAAACATATTTCCCACACCCCTCACAAGTAGTGCAAACATTTGGGGAGTAAGAAGTAACAGAGGAGCGGAGAGAGAGGGAAGTAATTGCTGGGAAGAAGCCTGGGAGTGAACCTGGAAGGTTGTTGGGTGTGGGAAGTATAGAACAGTTTGGGGTTTTTTTTTGGGTGGGGTGGGGGTGAGAGAGAGGGATTGTTAGCAAGTTGGGGAGCCTCCCCCATGCAGACCCTGGCTGACCCCCAACCTCTCCCATTCAGTCAGGCACATCTACTGCTGCAACCATGTGTTTCTGCATTCCCTGTCCCAATTCTGTCAGGTATAGCTGCACATGTCCCAATGTGACCCTGCACCCCAACTCAGCCACCCCCTCCCCACATCCCTGCATCCCACTCTTCCTCATCCCCATGTGGCCTGCACCCTCCTCCCCATCCCCATGTGGTCCTGCACCCCCACTCAGCCCCAGGCTCAATGTCACCCCACTAGCTCCTCTGCCTCTCCCCTCCACTAGCCCTTCTGAACCCCAGTTTGTGTGACCCCAGCAGTCCTGTGTGACTCCCCATATCCCATGCCTCCTCACCTGTCCCTGCAGGCAGGGTGCTGTGAGGAAGGCAGCCTCTGCCCCCTCCCTCTCTACAGCTGGCTGCTCCAGCTCTTGAGCTAGCTACCCTCTCTTCTGGAACCTCATCAGTGCCTGGTGAATAAAAGGTGTAATTGCAATGTGACCCCTCTCAGCTTCCCTTCACCTCCCAATCAGAATCAATTATTCTGTGGGGGGGTGGGAGATTTAAAAATAAATCTGTGGGGTACATTGATTTTGTGCTTTGTGCAGTGGCGCAGAATTCCCCCAGGAGTAAGTATGGATATTTAGCACAGGAGAAGCATTGTACTTGTCACAGGCAAGTTAAAATATAGAGCTCGAGGAAGTTCAACAAGGTACAAATATGTTTGCAGTGTCAGCATTTCCATTTCTAAGATATGTGCTCAAAGTTCAGAGCAATAAGAAACTAAGTATATTTAAAAATGAGAAAAATCTAAGATTTATGTTTATCTTATTACAAAGTAGAAAAATTCTGAAGTATAGTTTAAAACTTCACTGCATAAGCTTGCATTATTGCACCAGTATAGGCTCAGAATCATAAAACCAACTTGCCCATCCCCCTTTTTACTGGACAGTTTTTAAAGCATAAATAGCCTGCTTGTTAAAACTTATCTCTTCTAAGCTTCAGATGAATAATAAACTGTTACACCAAAGCAGGACATTAAAATTGCCTTGCCCGCTAAAAACTAATACAATCTTCAGCAATTAACCTTTTCAGTAGAGCTGGAGAAAGGGGAAAAAAAAAAAAAAAAAAAAGGATAGGTCACAGTCTAATGATTGAGAACATCCCAAATGTTTATCTTGGGCTATTAGAACACTTCAAGTGTAATTGCTTTACATAGGCAATTTCTTCCCTCCCAGATCTATAAAAAGTAGTACACCCACTATCTCCTTCCCTAAAAGCTTAACTAAGGGTACGTCTACACTGCAAAGTTGACGACAAAACTTTTTGTCTTTCACGGTACTTAAAAAAACCAGCCCACCGCCTACCCCCACGAAAAACAAAAAAGTTTTGCTAAGGCAAGTGGCAGTGTGAATGTGACTTTGTTGGCAGGAGCGCTCTCCTGCCGACAAGGCTAACGGCGCTCACGTGGCTGGAAGTATTTTGTCGGCAAGAGTGCAGACAAAGTACCGACAAAGAGCATTTACACACGCTGACTTTTAGCGACAAGGCTGACACAGCCTTGTCGCTAAAAGCTGCGTGCTATAGACAAGCCCAAAGTCTACATCCCCCAAATGCTGTAAACACCTGTGTTGTGCATAACCTTATTCATGTGAGTAGTCCCACTGGCTACTTCAGAAGGACTACTGATATGAATAAAGTGAAGCATCTAAATACGTATTTGCAAAGTTCTTGGTGGGGGAGATAAGAAAATACTAAAAATATGCAGTAGTTACACTTTGCAACATATTTAAACTGTTCTCATTTCTCCCCCCCCCCCCCCCATTCTTATTTTAGCAGGATATATTTGGACTATTCCACAACTTCCTTCACTCTTTCCTAAAATTTTGAAAACAGACAAATGAGGACTAAAACTACAACAGAATTTACACAACAATCCAATAGTTAAAATCCCTTTCTGGTTACATAATGCATTACTGTGGAACAAAAATATATGAATAAACATCCTTAAACTAATTTTACAAGAAAGGGGATAAGATATTTCAAAATGTAGTGAGAAATAACTATAGGAAATTAGTGCCCAATTAAAAAAGATAAAGGACATTAGACCAACAGAACTATAAAGAATGAACGAACACAATGGATCCAGAGAAGAACATGGAGGAAGCCTGAAAACTAAATTTAAAAATAAATAAATTAAAATATACATACATACACTATGTAGTTATTCTGTTATTTTCAAGTACTTCTGGAAGATATGAATAGCCTACACTAAAACTGATCACTATAGAGGATTAGACTATTTTTTTTTTTAACCTTTAAATGAAAATATTCATGGAAAACTATTTAGCATCATCATAGCTAAAGAAGCACTCAAGGAAGACAAGGCCATTGTGAAGCTAAATGAATTATTTGTATCAGTCTTCACTGCAGAGGATGTGGGGAGATTCCCACACCTGAGCCATTCTCTTTAGGTGAAGAATCTGAGGAACTGTTCCAGATTGAAGAGTCAGTAGAGGTTTTGGAACAAATGATAGATTAACCACTAATAAGTCACTAGATGGTATTCACCCAAGTGTTCGGAAGGAAGTCAAACTATTAACTCTAATATAAAACCTATCACTTAAATCAGCCTCCGTACCAGATGAATTGAGGATAGCTAATATAACTCTGATTTTTAAAAAAGGCTCCAGAGGCGAGTCAGGCAATTACGTATCAGTGAGCCTAACTTCAGTACCAGGAAAATTGGTTGAAATTGTAGTAGAGAACAGAATGATCAGACACAGATATGAACATGGTATGCTGGGGAAGAGTCAAACAACTTTTGTAAACAGAAACCATGCCTCACCAATTAGGATTATTTGAGGGAGTCAACAGCAGATGGACAATGAACCTTGGTATTAGGAAAGGGATAGATAAAACCGAATATATCATAGTATCACTATATAAATCCATGGTGCGACCATACCTTGAATACTGCACATGGTTCTGGTCGCCCCATCTCAAAAAGTATTAGAATTGGAAAAGGTACAGGAAGGGCAACAAGAGAGACTAGGATATGGAACAGCTTCCATATAAGGAGAGATTTAAAAGACTTCAATTTAGAGAAAAAAAATGACTAAGATGGAGGTATGTTAGAGGTCTATAAAATCATAAATGGCATGGAGAAAGTGTATAAGGAAGTATTATTTATGCCTTCGCATAACACAAGAACTGGTGTCACCCAATGAAATGAATAGGCAGAAGTTTTAAAACTAACACAAAGAAGTACCTCTTCACACAACACACAGTCAACCTGTACAACTCATTGCCAGGGAAGGCTGTAAAAGCTAAAACTTTAAGTAGGCTTGAAACAGAATTAGATAAATTCATGAAGGACAGGTCCACCAACAGCTATGAGCCAAGATGGCCAGAGACACAACCACACACTCTGGGTGTCCCTAAAACTGTGACTGTCAGAAACTAGGACTGATCACTCGATAACTGCCCTGTTCTGTTCATTCCCCTCTGAAGCATCTGGCATTGGCCTGTAAGAATATAGGGGGCTAGATGGACCTTTGGTTTGACCCAGTATGACCATTCTTATGTTCTTGTGGCTGTATGGTTTTACTATACTCACTAATATTAAAAAGTATGAGAAAAAGTCTAATAAAGAATTCCCTAACTGGCAGCAGCCACTCTTGCTGGATATTTCATATGTTTTAAACAGCTCTAGGGGTCTATTTTGAGGGGGGGAGGAGTAAGAGTCAGAGGAAACAATAGACAGAAAAAAAAACAAACAGAAAAACAATCCCCAGAAGATCCCAGATATACACAAATGTGGGATTAAATCAGATTACATAATGTTTGTGTTCTGTAAGCAAGACACTGCACTATAGTATTCTTCTACTTTAAACAATCTGCACATTGACAGCCACTGAAGTACTGCATTGTTGGCGATTCAGTGCCTCAAACTGGTACCTCATTACACCATTTAAGGCACAAATAATAAAGAAAAATATAAATTTAAACACACAAATCAGTTTTAAGTAGTTATATTTTGGTTTTAGTATAGTTAATTTTTTAAATATCATTCTGAAAGTAACTGAAATCTGTCTGCAAGATGGGTTATTTTGCCACAATTCTTTTCACACTAGTTTCCAATCTAAAAACTGGTCAAATTAGGACAACCAAAAAGTGATCTTCACATTTTCCAAACATCCAATTTTTAGTTACTCCATAAAAACAAAAGACGACTTATATATACACAAAAAGCTATCTGAACCTACTAACAGACAAAAATCAGATATGCATTTTATGGTCATTCTCCCAATTCACGGATTTTAAAAATTAAGTATTTGACTTCTCGCCACGCATAGTAGCACGTTTCATAGCTCAATTTACTTAGAAATAAGGTACTAAAACAATACAGTACTCCCATCCCAAAACAGATACAGTTTATACCTCGCCCCGTGTTAGCTACATTTCATTCCCCCACCCACCAGCGTATGAGATAAGCAGCAGCTGCGTTTCAAATATTGATTTAGAATCTTTCCGCATAACTGTCGGCGCTGCGGCTCCCACCAGAGGGTGGAGGCAGTCGGCTCCCCAGTTCCGCCGGCCAAGGAGAAGAAAGGGGGAGGTTGTGCCCCTTTGGATTGGCTCCATCCGCCCCCGGGGCCGCAGAGAGGAGACAACAGCCCGTGGAGCACCTAGGGATCGCATAGAGCTGCAAAGCCTGCCCCCCCCCCCCCCGGGCCTCTGCAGCTCCCCGCACAGCCCCATTCACCGTGCCCCCGAGACCTCCCCCCGGCCGCAGGGAGACGAAACCAACTCGCCCCATTCTACCGCCCGGCACGGGGCGCTAGCGACGCGCCACCAGCCCACCCCTTCGCTGTGCCCCGGCGGTGAGCCCGCTGCCCCACTCAGACCGACCAGAGACCAAACTCCTCCGCGGACACGGACCGCCCAGCCCGAGCCTCCGGGCCCCGCGCACAGAGCTCCCCCATCGCAGGGACCTGGGCCCCGCACTGCGGGAGCGATCAGTGAGTGGGGTCGGAGCACGCACCTGCCTCCGTCTCACGTTGGTCCTGTAGCGTAGCCGCGTCCGGCTCCCCCTGGGGGCTGCGGCCCCGTCAGCCCCCCCCCAACCGCCGCCGTTCGAACGCCGGGGACGTGCTGAGTAACGGCTCCGCTTGGCTCTGTCAGCCCGGTGGCCTGCAGCAGCGCGCGGAGCCCGAGTCGCTCGCACCCCCGGCGGGACACTAAGAGGACGAGGGCCGGGCTTCTAAGCGGCCCTCGCCAGACTCCGTCCCCGCCTCCCTGACTGGACTGAATTAATCTAGACTTGGGCAGAGCAGAGGGCGGTTCAGCGGCCAAGGGGCGGTAGGCTGGGGACTGGCCCTCATTGACCGGCAGCCGGCCACAACGCACCAATGAGATTGCAGCCCGACTAGGGCCAATGAGGAAGCACCAGAAATCCAGAGGGGAGCAAATCCCGGCATACAAAGCAGCCGATTGACATTGAGCTCCGGCCAATGGGAGAGCTCGATTGCCTTTGGTGCCGCAGCCAATCGGGTTACGAGGCCGGCAATGGTGGGGCGAGAGGTTCCGGGTCAGGGAGCCACGTGCGGCGGCGGTGGCTCCCGGTGCGGAAGGATGAGTTCCCAGAGGGGGAACGTGGCCCGCTCACGGCCCCAGAGACATCAGAACTCGCGAGTCTTCAAAAATGACAAGTATGACACAAGCGCCCAGCGCAAGGTACGGAGCGGCCGGGCCGGGGGGGAGGCGCTGCCAGGGCCCCTGTGCCGAGGGCTTCCCCCGACAGAGCGCTGCGAGTAGCCGGACCTAGGGCCTCCGTGTGCCCGGGCCGTCTGCAGAGCCAGCCCCTGCGGGAGCTGTCGGGCCGGGCGGAAGTGGGGAACTTGGGCAGGGGTGCACGTGAGGTGCTGCGGCAAGCCCGTCACGTGCCCTGTCCACTGGAACGTGCTGAGCAATCGTCGTTAACGTGCGATAAACAGCAGTTAAGCCTCTAACCTGAGCAGGGCGCGATCGGGGAAGCGCGTGTTTGTGCCGGCCGCCTGGGAGCCCCTGAGCTGGGTAACGGGGGGCCGGGGAGGTGGCGCATTGTTTGTACAAGGGAGGTTTGGGTTATGGGCAGCTGCCTGACAAGCTGAAATGACTAATAACCTCAACTGGCATCATTAAAAACCAGGCATGGAAGCCACATCTGGGGATGAACGCTCTCTCCAGCCCGCTAATGGGAGAAAGGGAGGGGTAGCTTCAGCTCCCAGCCTGCTGGCTCTTTGTAAACCTGCCTAAACTGGAATGTAAAGGGACCCTTTGTCAGCCTCGCTTAGGCCAAAAATGTAGGGTTTGTGTAATAATACTGTTATAGCCTAAGATCTCAGCAGTTTAGTAACATATGCCTTAATTTATTAACACCACCCCTGGAAGCTAGGTAAATATCCCCATTTTACAGCAGGGAAATCTTTGCCATTGGATCATTTACTGGTTTGTTACAGATGCAAACCAAAGTCTTTGAATGGTTTATGAACTTTGCGAGTGGCTCTGGCTGACTTAAGTCTAATAAAACCATGCAAGATTCACAGGTTTGCTTAATGCTGAACTGACAGACTTCTTTTTGGGGATTTACTTTCAGTTTTAGGATTAATTCAAAACAAAAACTCATGGTGTGTGTACACCTCTGAGACACAAAACTGAAACAAACATTCAGATGGACCCTGATCATTATAACCTGATAGTTTCACATAGCTCTAGTTCACCACCCTGCAATAAATGTTTAAATACTCATAACTAACTTCACTAAAATGTATATAGAAATTGTTCTCTATTTTTTTGTAGTTACCAGTTATATACACATGTAATATTTCAATTGTTTATAGTAATTTTTAAGTTGTACAACACTGAGCACCTTAACTAGGACTGTTTATTATGATGATCTTCTGGATAAGGCATAGACTGAGAATCAACGCTCTGAATTGTGGTCTTGACTCTGTCATTAACTTGTTTGTGCTAGTGCATCACAACCAAAATATGCTGGCTCAAAAACAAAACTGGCTACTCTAATTCTCTCTCTAAACCAGCAGTTTTCAGACTATGGGGTGGACTTCCCTAGAGAGGCATAAATTGTGCTATTTTTTTTTTTTAAAGAGCTCTGTCTGTCAGCCCCAGATGATTGGGGCTTGTGCAGAAAGGCTGTGCACACCTGGGAGGCAGGGATAAAGGGGACAGCTGGAGCCCTGCCACCCCTGGCTCTTCTCCCTCCCAATCTCTCACTGGAAGGCAGCCCGGGATCAGGCTTTCCTTCCCCTCACACTCAATCCTTCGCCTGGAGGCAGGGGACTCCAGCTGTTAGCCCCAGGGTGGCAGCAGCAGCAGCGCAGAAGAAGGATGGCAATGGGGTGCCAAGTTTGCTGTGAAAAGTGATATAGACAAATATCACTCTTCAAATTGCCACCCTTACTTCTGTGCTACTGCTGGCATTGTGCTGCCTTCAGAGCTGGGTGCCCAGCCAGCAGCTGCTGCTCTCCACTCTGCCTTCAGAGCTCTGGGGTGGTACTTTTGTGAGGAGAGGGGTGTAAATGACTACAGACACAAAGGGGGGGGGGCTGATCTAATAAGTTTGAGAACCACTGCTCTAAACTTAAGTTAATTAATATAGAGTTGTAAAAAAAACCATGTTTCTAATTTCTGGTGGCATTAAGAACAGAGGATTTATATTTCCTGTCAATATCTCTAAGGGTATGTCTACATTACAAAATTAGGTCGATTTAATAGAAGTCGATTTTTAGAAATCGCTTTGATACAGTCGATTGGGTGTCCCCCCCCACTAAGCGCATTAAGTCGGCAGAGTGCGTTCACAGTACCGAGGCTAGCATCGACTTTCGGAGTGTTGCAATGTGGTAGCTATCCCACAGTTCCTGCAGTCTCCACCGCCCATTGGAATTCTGGGTTGAGCTCCCAATGCGTGATGGGGCAAAAACATCGTCGTGGGTGGTTCTGGGTACATGTCGTCAGCACCCCACCCCCCCAAAGTGAGAGCAATGGCTGAGAATTGTTTCGCGCCTTTTTTCCACGCAAACACCATACCACACAAGCATGGAGCCCGCTCAGATCGCCGCGGCAGTTATGAGCACTGTAAACACCACGCGCATTATCCTGCAGTGTATACAACACCAGAACCTGCAAAAGCAGGCGAGGAGGCGACGGCAGTGTGGTGACGAGGACATGGACACAGACTTCTCTCAAAGCACGCATGGGCCCTGGCAATTTGGACATCATGGTGGTAATGGGGCAGGTTCGTGCCCTGGAACGCCGATTCTGGGCCCAGGAAACAAGCACAGACTGTTGGGACCGCATAGTGTTGCAGGTCTGGGATGATTCCCAGTGGCTGCGAAACTTTCGCATGCGTAAGGGCACTTTCATGGAACTTTGTGACTTGCTTTCCCCTGCCCTGACGCGCAAGAATACCAAGATGAGAGCAACCTTCACAGTTCACAAGCGAGTGGCGATAGACCTCTGGAAGCTTGCAATGCCAGACAGCTACCGGTCAGTCGGGAATCAATTTGGAGTGGGCAAATCTACTGTGGGAGCTGCTGTGATCCAAGTAGCCAACGCGATCATTGAGCTGCTGCTATCAAGGGTAGTGACTCTGGGAAATGCTGCAATGGGATTCCCTAACTCTGGTGGGGCGATAGATAGAACGCATATCCCTATCTTGGGACCGGAGCACCAAGGCAGCCAGTACATAAACCTAAAGGGGTACTTTTCAATGGTGCTGCAAGCACTTGTGGATCACAAGGGATGTTTCACCAACATCAATGTGGGATGGCCAGGAAAAGTACATGACACTCGCATCTTTAGGAACTCTGGTCTGTGTGGTCTACCCCTTAATGCCATGGCTCATGAAGCCATACACAGGCACCTTGGACAGTAGTCAGGAGCTGTTCAACTATAGGCTGAGCAAGTGCAGAATGGTGGTAGAATGTGCCTTTGGATGCTTAAAAGTGCGCTGGCGCAGTTTACTGACTCAGTTATACCTCAGCGAAACCAATGTTCCCATTGTTATTACTGTTTGCTGTGTGCTCCACAATATCTGTGAGTGTAAGGGGGAAGACGTTTATGGCGGGGTGGGAGGTTGAGGCAAATCCCCTGGCCGCTGATTACGTGCAGCCAGACACCAGGGTGGTTAGAAGAGCACAGCAGGGCGCGCTGCACATCAGAGAAGCTTTGAAAACCAGTTTCATGACTGGCCAGGCTACGGTGTGAAAGTCCTGTTTGTTTATCCTTGATGAAAACCCACCCCCTTGGTTCACTCTACTTCCCTGTAAGCCAACCGCCCTCCCCTCCCCCCTTTGATCACCGCTTGCAGAGGCAATAAAGTCATTGTTTTTTCAAATTCATGCATTCTTTATTACTTCATCACACAAATGGGGGGATAACTGCCAAGGTAGCCCAGGAGGGGTGGGGGAGGAGGGAAGGACAAGGCCACACTGCACTTCAAAACTTATTGAATGCCAGCCTTTTGTTGCTTGGGCAGTCCTTTGGGGTGGAGTGGTTGGGTGCTCGGAGGCCCCCCCCACCGCATTCTTGGGCGTCTGGGTGAGGAGGCTATGGAACTTGGGGAGGAGGGCAGTTCATTACACAGGGGCTGCAGTGGCGGTCTGTGCTCCTGCTGCCTTTCCTGCACCTCAACAATACACCAGAGAATATCAGTTTGATCTTCTAGTAGCCTCAGCATTGCATCCTGCCTCCTCTCATCACGCTGATGCCACCTATCATCTTGATCCTGCCACATGTCCTCGTGTGCATTTAGTGCTTTCCTGCACTCTGACAGTGTCTGCTTCCATGCATTCTGCTGGGCTCTTTCAGTGTGGGAGGACTGCATGAGCTCAGAGAACATTTCATCATGAGTGCGGTTTTTTCGCCTTCTAATCTTCGCTAGCCTCTGGGACACAGATGATACAGGGAGCGTTGAAACATTTGCAGCTGCAGGAGGAAAAAAAGGGAGAGTAGTATTTAAAAAGACACATTTTAGAGAACAATGGGTAGATTTTTTCACGGTGAACCAAGCTGTTAACATTACATGGTTTCAAACAGCAGCGCCCTCATTTCCCATACCAAGCACCCATTGGGTTGGCCATTTAAAAGGAGGGGCTGCGGTTTTCAGGTTAACATGCAGCACAAACCCAACGAACCCCCTCCTCCCCCCCCACCCTATTCTCTGGGATGATCGCTTCACCTCTTTCCCCCTCCCCCCACCACCACCACGTGGCGCACAGCGGGGAT